TATGCCCGGCCCTTAAAGGCAGTGTCCCGGCAGATTTTGCACCTCCACCTTTTTGCATGTTCTAGGCCTTTTCGCCACGTAGAATCCGAATTTGAGCTTTGAACGGACTGAAAAGGCCGATATTGGGGCGTTATCCTAATTCCAAAAAAGCAGCTCGGACGAGATTTTTATAATGGAAAATTGGGAGGTCCTCAGACGAAGACCCTGCCGCCTGTAATTCTTGCTTTGGATAGCATGCATAACGGAGGAGGGCGCTCGTGGGGTCCCGCGCCGAATGGGCAAGGAGGGCCGTCCAAGCGCGCGCCAGTTGGGGTTGCGCGCGCCGGTTCAGGGGCCATTTTCTCGGCCCAGGGGGAACATCACCCAGTCAAACTGCGCCTGGAGGTCGGTGGGGTGACCACAAAGCCCACCACACGTATATCCCCTAGGAACCGAATCTGCCGGGACACTGCCTTTAAGGGCCGGAAATACATCACGCGATTTTATCGCCTCGCGATTCACCCATCAAGACAACTGCTACGACTTCGTTGTATGCAGATCATCTTGCATTTCGTTGTGGTAGTTTTCGCGCCTAATCGCGATTAACCATCACAACCGAGATGCAAGATGACCAGCAGCGAGGCGATGAAATTGCGTGATGTATGCCCGAGCCTTCAGGCAGAGTTCTGATTCTTCTTCGAGTTTCGGATTTCTGAAAGTTTTCAAATCTTGATTTCAATGTGAAACAAACTTTGCGCGTAGTTCAGCCGTCGCTTTTAGCATGCTTTGCATTGTAAAAACACCGTCATAGCTTAAAGGCAGCGTCCAGGCAAATCTCGACATATGGGTCTGTTGTGAAAAGTAATTTTGGGCCCTAACTGAGACACTGTCCAAGCGGCAGCTCAAATGGTGAACTCACAGTTAGTATATTCACCTCCAGACTGGACCCCGGGATCGTTTCGCATGGATTAGGCGCGACACGTGTGGGTCCTCGTGCGAAGCTGATGTGTCGCGCCATGAATCTATGCGAATACGATCCCGGGGTCCAGTCTGGAGGCGAATTTGTCAACTGTGAGCTCACCATTTGAGCTGCCGCTTGGGCAGTGTTTGATTGAGGGCTCCAAAATTACCCTCCAAGAGAGGTCCCCATAGGCGCAGATTTGCCAGGACGCTGCCTTTAAGGTATAGGGAGCAGCGGTTTTCTCGTCAAATAACCACAACAGCTTCGACAAGAAAGACTCCTAGACTACAAGAAAGAATACTCATAACTAACAAACTTCCGAATTCGAAAAGAAAGATTTGCAGAAAAAAAAAACTTGTCTGGACATATATGCGGTCACTTACGAATTATGTCTATCACCCGAATGTGCACATACACGCCAAAAGAGAAGATAACAGGAAAGAAGGTAAAAAAGATTGACTCACCTACACTTCCATGCTGATCCGTGAACGACATGGGATTCAATCCTGTCCCTTCGGAGCTCGCTGCAAGAGCCGTCATGGCGGACGTTTGCTTGTCTTAATTTTCCCCTTCTTGACCTGTAAGGTTAGCAATGTTACTAAACCCGTTTGCACTAAATAATAAACTGATGTTTGAATTCAAACGAGTGATGCAGCGCACATCACACAGCCACAATGACTTGCACATGCAAATCCATGCTTGCAGAATGCATACGTCTGACGTGCACAATTGATGTCGTGTGCAGCACGGCTTACACACCGAAGAGGCGATGAGAATTTCTAGTTGACGGATTAACTTGCCTCTTCACCGAAAATTCCACCTCATTGCTCTGAACATGTTGCAAATGCGCAGCACCAAGTTTTCCATTGGGAAAAGAAGATGAGTTAGTCAAACATGAAGGGTTTTGGCAAGACAACCAATGAAAGTCTTTTGTGTGAATCTACTTGTGCGTTTGTACGAGGAGCTTTCTCCCTAGCTAAGCGCCAGACTCATCCGTTTCAACTGGTTAATCCGGTTCACCCCATTCGCTAGTCAGTGCAGTGATTTGACCAGTAGCAAATGGGTGAGGATGAATCGGTTGAACCGATGTGCCTTAAAGGCAGAGTCCAGGCAGATGGACCTATGGGGATTTTACGTGGGAAGTAATTTTGGGGCCTAACTAAGGCACGGCCCAAGCGGCAGTACAAACAACTCACTAACGGCTGACAAGGGAAGTGTCACAAATCGCAGTGGCCATTTGAGATGGGATGAGTGGTGTGACACGTCACTCGGAAGGGCATTTACAAAACCACCCTCGCTAGCTGCAGAACAACTCTGGGAGGGGAACTACGGGCGTTTTTCCGCTTGAGACCCAGCGCGCCTTGCTCGAATACGACTGCCACCCTAAACATGCACTGTCAATGTGGCGCAGTGGCAAGTGTGCTGACTACTGTGGGGATGTGTGGAGGTTCGAATCCTGTGTTGGACAAGTCTTTTGCAATTTATGTACAAACTCCTAAAATGTGTACATTAGAGACGAAAACGTGTTCTACCCTTTACTGGTGCTCAAAAGCAAAAAAGCACACTATATTATCTTTCTTCAAAAGGAATTTCAAATACAGTGAAACTATGCGAGAAAGCACAAGAAACTTGTGGAAATGAAAAATTTTAACGAAATGAGCGTCAAACGCAGATTGAGCGCGAAACCTCGGAGCGATTGCGAAAAATGCGATTACGAAAAACTTTTCTGCGTCAAGCATATTGTTCTAAAATATCATATATGTGACAGGAATCTTACTACAGAACGCATTTTTCTTGCTTTTTCCACTGTATTGTATCGCATGCTAAATCTGACAATAAAGTTTCATCTGATTGGATGCTTCCCCACGCCTACAGGAGGTCTTTACAATAAAAACATTTTCCTACTTTTAAGCACCAGTAAAGGGGTAAGACACGTTTTGGTCACTAATGTGCACATTTTAGGAGTTTGTACATAAATTGCAAAAGGGTTATCCAACAAAGGATCCGAACCTCCACACATCCGCGCAGTAGTCAGCACACTTGCCACTGCGCCACACTGTTACGGCTGGCTGAGGGTGGCAGACTTATTCGAGCAAGGCGGGCTGGGTCTCTTGCGGAAAAACGCCCGTAGCCCCCCACCCAGAGTTGTTCTGCAGCTAGCGAGAGTGGTTTTGGAAATCACCTTCCGAGTGACGTGTCATACCACCCATCCCATCTCAAACGGCCACTGCGATTTGTGACACTTCCCTTGTGAGATATACGCTTCCAAACTGGACCCCAAGATCGTATTATCGGGCGACTTGCATCGTTTGCACGCTTTCGCGTGAGGACCCAGGCGAAATGATGTGTCGCGCCATGAATCCATGCGAGATACGACCTGGGGTCCACTTTCGCGGCGAATACTCCAGCCGTTAGAGCACTATCTGAGCTGCCGGTTGGGCAGTGTCTTACAAGGGAAGCTTGTTTAGTCGAAGTGGCCTTTCTAAATATGATGTTTACTATATTGAAGGGCATAAAACGCTGACTCCAAATCTGCCTTTCTTATCTGCAGTGCACGAGAAGTTATGAGCGTTTTCTAAAGCAAAAAATTGAACGTGCATTTTGGTTAAAATGAGTTGCTAAAGACTAGCCCTCAAATAATGCGACGTGTGATATATTTCTTACTAGCTGGTGGCCCCGGTCTCACCCGAGACTTCAAGTTAGTTAAGCCAACAGAGCTTGTAAACTTACGCCTCTAGATTTCTTCTAACATGCGCATAAACCGCTTTCAGACTAATGGCCGCACCCTACAAACTTTGAGACTGAAGTGGACTTTACCGCCCCTGCTTACATGCTTATATGTAAAAATGATCGGTTGCCATGATGACCCTTCATTTTCTTAGGTTTGAGTAAACAAATCAATAAACCGATAGAATGGCCCGGCGGATCGCCGCGGAAAGTAACTCTAAACCACCACCGGGGTCGAAAATATACGTGTGCGAAGTTTCAGCCGGATCGGTTCAGTGGCACGCGTTTCCATAACGAACGAACAACTAAACGAACATCCTCACAGACATTGAGTTTTATATATATACTAGCTGGCTTACCCGGCTCCGCCGTATCCGGACCAAACTTGGCACACATACACTTCGGGCCCCGGCGGGTGTCACAGTCCACTTTTCGTTATCGATCGATGTCGATTTTACCGATTTTTATCGATTTTTTTGCAGAGTTCACCTACAGGGCTAGGAGTTGGCACAGGGGGGGGAAGTGAGCATGGGGATTCCGAATACAATATTAGTTTTCAGAATTATCGATTACTTTTATTGATTTTATCGATTTTTTGTAAATTTTGACATGCGAGGCTGGGATTTTGCACAGGGGGTAATCGAGCATGCTGATTACGAACACAATATTAGTTTTCAGGATCGTCCATTACTTTTATCGATTTTATCGATTTTTTTTGTAAAGTTTGACCTGCGGGGCTGAGTTTGCACAGGGGGGGGGGGGGGGTAATCGAGCATGCAGATTACGAATACAATATTAGTTTTCAAGATCGTCCATTACTTTTATCGATTTTATCGATTTTTTGAAAATTTGAGCTAGGGGGCTGGAATTTGGCACAGGGGTGTAATCGAGCATGCTGATCATCCCCCTTGGGGGTGATCAGCATGCTCGATTACCCCCCCCCCCCTGTGCCAACTCCCAGCCCCCTAGCTCAAACTTTGCAAAAAAATCGATAAAATCGATAAAAGTAATCGATAATCCTGAAAACCAATATTGTATTCGGAATCCCCATGCTCGATTACCCCCCTGTGCCAACTCCCAGCCCCGTAGGTGAACTCAGCAAAAAATCGATAAAAATCGATAAAATCGATATCGATCGATGACGAAAAGTAGCCTATGACACCCGCCGGGGCCCGTAGTGTATGTGTGCCAAGTTTGGTCCGGATCGGTTCAGAAATGGAATTTTCCATTCGGAACATACGTACAGACATACATACAGACATACAGACAGACAGACAGACAAACAGACATTCAGCTTTATATATAAGATAGATTTGGGAGAATTTTACAAATAAAGTGCTTTGATGATTGTCACTACTCCATTGAAGAGCTAGAAAAAGTATTGCGGCCATTTTTGTCCTACTTGCACACACAATTATTTGCCCCAACAAACGCTCATATCTTCTCGTCCATAAACGCTCTGCAGATAAGGAAAGCAGATTTGGAATCAGCCATTTATGCCCTTTAACATGGTATACGTCCTATCTAAAAAGGCCATTTCGACTAGACACGCATTCCTTGGTTAGTCAGGGTCCCAAAACTACTGCCCACGTGAGATCCCATCCCCATATGTCCAGATTTGCCTGGATGCTGCCTTTAAAGACACCATTCACCCAAAATGGGTTTGATGAGATTTTGATGCTTAACAGTAGAGCGATCCGCAGCTGTACACTTGCTCAACTCTCGCTGCTAAAAATTGCTTCTGAAGGGGTGTGTGCCAATAGCTGTAAATAGGCATACGGTACACCTGCGGTTGTCAATATGAGGGTGTCCCAAAGTCTTGTAGCCTAGTATTTTTTCTGATAAAAACAGAACGGAACAACATAGGCATATAAAATTTGGTGTACACATTATTCAAAAAGTAGCAAATACATCACAGAATTCGAATTTCGTGGTAGCATCTTTCCTTGATAACGGAAGCTTTCAAACTGTTGGCGATTACCACTGCCGAGGCACGCAGGCAGTCATCATCAATTTTGTCCCAATTTTTCATGAAAATAAATCCTATCGCTTAGAAAATGTGCTGTATGATAGAGCAAGCTCTCATCTACATCATACCGTGATTAAAAAAATTTGTTTTATGATTGAAATTACGGAAATTTGAATGCAGGCACGTGTAGATATCATGGTGGAGTTTTGGACACATTTGCGGAAAATGAAAATAGAAAATCGGCTACAATGTGTTTCAAAACCAAGTTCGTCATCCGCGTTGCATTAGATTCCCATCTATAAAACATGCGAAGAGGATATTACTCCAAATTCAGTGACTGCTGCAATTCTACAGATTTGAAAGTAATTCCAAAGACATAGTTGCAGTGGCACGCATTAAAAATTTCCAGGTTTTTTCTTGCCTATCTTGACGAAACAGATTTCTGCAGCCATTATAGTGATAGTAGTGCAAAGCCTCCTCTATATTGTGGATATAAATTTGCACCGCGGTGTGCCAAATTTTTGCAGTAGCGGAATAAATTCCAAACTTTTAGGAAACAGCTTTTTGCGTTTTGGGGTAGAAATGGTTTGATAATTTTATTTTTTTTTCAGTCAAACATGAAGATCATTTTTTACCCCCAAGGATTTAGTTTACAAAGAATGATTGGAGGATTCTGCGGTATAAATTTGAGATCAAAATCACCAGTGATCGTTGAGTTAAAGCAGTGCAAAATTAGGCTACAAGACTTTTGGGACACCCTGTAGTAGCAGTTTTCAGAGCGATATGTCCTTCTCTATATTAAAAATGGTTTTGAGGAGTACGAATCAGAGTAAAGTTCCCAGCGCTTTTCCGAGCCTTTTGATAGCATTGGGGCTCAAATGTAGATTTGCGAAAAATCTGACCTAGGCAACGCACATGGCTGGCATCAGCTATCAATAATGAAAAGTAGCCGACGACACGCCCCGCCCAAAGTGTATGTGCGCATTGTTGGTTCGGATCAGTTTAGAAATAAAAATCTCTAGTCGGAACATACGTACCGACAGACACACAAACACATAACATACAAACAGACATTCAGCTTTATTTATACAGACAATAGCACCTTTTATCATTCAGAAAAACGGACAATTATTTACAGCTTATATGTTACAGTTAAGGAGAGACTGAAAACAACGCCAAAATACTGCAGTCAATGTACAATCTATTCGGTGCATTAAGTTCGTTCGCATTTCTCATTTCAGTTTTTTCAATTTCGCTCTGTACTCGATAAGGTACTCATATGCTTTTGAAAGAATCTAACAATCTGCTCTATAAACATACCTGTATCATTCTGATTTTTCGAAGGAAAAAATCAAGAGAATCAATGCCTTCAAAGGAAAAAATCCAAAAAAGCGAAAAATTTTTCGCCATTTTTCTATGTTTAAGTTTTCCCATTTTTCAATCAAAAAATCTATCCAACAATCGTGAAAACAAACAAATGTCTAGCGCCAATACTTCACGGGGCAAAACTTCCTCGCAACGACGTGGTCGTTTCGTCACGCGCCTAAGTTGTGAGCTCACTCAAGATCTAACTTTTTTCGGTGACCTTTGAACTAATCTTGAAGTACAGACCATTCTTCTGCCAATTTCTGAATTGCCCGCTGATCCTCTCCCAAGGTAGCCTTCAGGTGCCCAATGTCGATCTTGGAGGAGCCGTCGGAAAAAGAGACTTCAAATTTAGTCGGATTCTCAAAGCTTTGAATAACTGCTAAAGACAAGCTGCAATTCATAGAAGCAGCATAAAACGCTGCCTCAAATCCGTCTTCCATATCTGCTCAACACTTTTTTAACGAAGCTGTAGGCCATTGAAGTACATTAGCTAGGTACCAGATCTTGCGCGCAGAGTGAAAATTGGCCATATAGAGCCATTTTGGCTTGATGTTGAACCAAAACATGCAACTAGGTTACTTCACATAGCCTATCCCCAAAGATGAGCCAAAAGGCAATTTGCTCAATTCTGCACTATTGGCCTGCGATTTTTTTTAGCAGAAAAAAACACTTACAACTTTGACTTAGCAGGTAAGAAAGACAAATTTGAAGTCAGCGCCGCTGTATGCTTCAGACTGGCTACTTCGACTTCTGACCATTCCCTTGTAAGCAGGTTCTAACTTTACGCTATGGCATTGTCTCCATTACGCTGCGAATTTGCCAATTGTTCGAAAGAATTGTGCTGCATTTAAAAGGCAATATCCCAATAACTGGCATACCGAAGCAATTTGCATGATAGAACAGGATAAATGCTTTTAGAAGCATACCACATTATACCGAACCTCGCACGAAACCTTGTGAAAAAAATTTTAAAAATGCGAACGGACTTATTACACATTATACACAAGATCATCAAAGATATCTCAAAGCACATCGCAGCATTAACGATGTCCGGCGGTACTACTTTCTCCATTTATCTAAAGTACTACTAAGTCATTCTTTGCAAGTATAGTTTTCAATCTGCTTCGGTATCAAGTGATAAGTAAGAGACCTTACCTTCGAACGACCGCGCAGCATGTATCTACAGGTGGATACTGCACTTCCATTGCTTGCATCTCTATGAAGAAAAAAGCCAATTTAGTGGAAACTTGGCAGCGGGCAACTTCTCAATGCAACACACGCACTTATTGATTCCTTCTTTCTTGTGTCGTATGCTTACAACTCTTTGTGTAAGAGACTCCTTCTTTCTTCTAACTTTCTTGTCAGTTACTTGTTTGGCTGCTCTATGCTAAAATTTTTATGTAAGACAGCATGAACAGTTCCATCTTAGTACATCAGATTATTGACTGGAATACTCAGCTTCTCTAGCCGGTTTCGGATCCGTCATTACAGTATGTCAAAAGTTGTCATTCTGTACTTCTGTAAATTTCTCTGCCTCCGTCCCACTCCCATATGCCAATCCTGCGCTCCCAGTTTGCGTACTAGGCACGCTTTACCCCCCCCCCCCCTCCTACACCAACATCCAGCTAAAGATTGCAAAAATCGACAAAAGTGATAAATACAAAGGATTTTTCCCCAAAACATTACCTACGTTTTTGATGCTCATTTATTCCTGTGCTAACTCCTGTTCCATCAAGGGCAAGATTATATGCGGTTGTCAGTGCGGTCGCGAAAATTCCGTCGGGGGGGGGGGGCAAAATTTTTTTCAAAATGAAGGTGCGTGACGTTAGCCACGCATTCCAAAAATTTTTTGGGGTGCTTCTCAAAATTTCTGCGGGGTCCATAACTCCTAAAGTGGCAGCAACCACGCCCCATTTCTTTTACAAGCTTCATTTTAATCAAAAATTTCAAAAATTAATAACCGTTTACAAGAATAACTAAGTCACTTGCACATTTTTATAATTCGTGTAAGTAAATTTCAAAAATTTAGCGACCTAAGCTCGGGGGGAGGGGGCTGATATTTTCTCTAGAAAAATCTTTTTCAATGCGAAATGGACTTCATCGCCATTGATGCGCAAAAAGACCACATAAAAACATGTAGCTGTACCGGGATCGATGCTGGCTCATACAGCCTATAGACTCATGTACCTTTTGCTTCAACCAGATCGGCGGCTGGAAGCGGGGCTCCGTGACCTAATTAAGGCTAGAAAATGATCGGAGAGCATGTTCGCGAGGGAGGCGCAGACTGTGTTGCGGACGCGGGCAGTCGCCTCCTAGGTTACGAAGCCCCGCCTTCCAGCAGCCAATCTGGTTGAAGCAAAGGGTAGCAAGACCAGAAATGTCATGGTTTTTTTGTACTAAGACAATCGCAGAAAGGATGTGTAACTTTCAAATGCTCACTTCTGCACATTCAGAAATTTCCGCCCTGCGTTTTGCAGGCGGCGATCCTTCTTCCTTAGGTGAGGCTAGACCCTGAATTACATGACCAGCTTAAATATGAAACAGGTGAACTAACCATGAAGTTTTCGGGGAAGTGGTCTAGCCCAGAAGTTAGAGCGCTGTCATCTGAGATGGAATACACTGAAGTCAGGGAAGATTGAAATGAAGGAAGTGAGCAAGACGATAATGAAGACTGGAAGGGAATCTGAGATCAAATGCGTTTATTGTGCCACATGGGTCCAACCTGTGAAGAAAAAGCAGGATCAGTATATCCTTGGGCTCTCTGGAACGACTTTGTGTTAGAGAAGAAAAGGTGTTGCCAGTCCCACCTGCTGTGATGCCTGCTTCGAGCACCATGGTGTTGCAAAGCATGAACTCGCACTGAGAATCGAATACTCATTATGCTAAAGCAGACCCATTTCAAATTTACATCCGATTGAAAATTAGCAATAGCATTTCCAATTGGTATGCTGGATGGTAAGTTCTATACTTGGGACCGAATCGAATGATTATTCGATTATTCGAATAAATCATTCGAATGCGAATCATTCGAAAAGTCGAATATTCGAAAATCTGAGGTTTCGAATAAAATTCGAAAGTCGAATATTCGAGATTTTCAGTTTTCGAATATATTCGATATTCGAATATTCGAAAATTTCAACTTTCGAATATTATTCGAAAGTCGAATATTCGAAAATCTCAATTTTCGAATATTATTCGAAAGTCGAATATTTGATGGTCATCAATTCGATCATTCGATGGTCATCGAATATTCGAATCATTCGATGAACGTCGAATATTCGAAAATTCGACAATTTGAATAATGAAACCAGAGCCCGGCGCAGATTGTATGGAAGCAAGCTGGATTTGGTTTTCGGGCGGAAAAGGATATCATTTTTGTGGCCAAAAATTGCGACGTTTTTTAGTCGGCGTTTCGTCTTTTGAGGGTTTTTTTACGTCTAGGGCTGACAGTCAAAGGGGACTTCGTTTTCAAGAAGCCTAGAAACGATCACATGCTGGGCTCTGGATGGTAAGCCTAGCACGTCACTGTGTTTCTATCAAGCTACAACTCTCAATGGGGAGGGTATAGGCACCGTAAAACCTAATTGCCCGTACCGTGCCTTGAACACCAACGTAAGCGAGCGGTCGTCGCGAAGGATTGTCGGCGTTCACTATATTTGAAGAAATCTTTCTTTAACTTTCATGTTGTTCTCGTCAATGCAGGGTATATTGACGAAAGCTCCTTTTGAAAGTTTAAAAAAATATGTGCGGAAAGGATGCGCGCTCACTGTCGCTTGCAAAAGGCCTGTAGCGCTTCGGGACCAAACGTTCCCAGCCGCCTCGCGCGTTGGTGTTCAAAGCGACGCGTGGGCAGTTGGATTTTACGGGGCCTGTATATGCTTTGTGGTCCTGGCGCAGTAGTCTATACAGTAATCGTGATGCGCCATTTCTGTTGCAGATGTAGCTGCTATCGATTTTTCGCTATTCAGGGACGCCAGATTTTAATGTTCTTCAACAGCGCTTATCAGTTCTTCATGAGCGTCATTGAGTAAACTTTAGAACTTAAACTTAGAGTTTAAACGTTTAGATCCACCGTAACACGGCTTTATGACCCCAGAAGGAAAAAGTGAAAAATGAGTACCATACTCTGCGCACCGAACAACCTCCTAGACCAAGGTTTAACAAGGTTTCGAAATTTTGTAGATACCGGGCATTAGTACCCCCCCCCCCACATACCTGCTGAAAGTACGAGCAAATATACTCCGGAGGACTTTTTAGCTGCATCTCTTCTTTTGTACACTATTTCTCTTTCTCTAACCAAACTCAGATTTATCTCTGAGTTCCACAATAGACTGTAACGCCCACCAAACTCAGAGTTATCGCAAAGCACGGCTGCGCGTTTGGTGGCGCTGTTTCTTGTGCAGAACGATCTCGACAATGTTTTCTTACTAGGGATAAATTACCGGTTACAGAATCTCCTGCCATGTATCGCTTTCTAGATTTGGTCCATTAAGCTGTTGAAGGGGTAAGAAAGGTGCGAGTCAACTCAGATACAACTCAGAGTTAAGTCAGAGTAACTGTGAGTTCCGACCAGATTACTACCGAACCTGCCTGAGGTCTAGTGCACGCTGTTCTTCATTCGCATTCGGGAAAGGTGATAGAGGTGAACATGAACGTGAAGATGTTCCTGATATCGTCGCAGCGTTACTTCCACTCGACATCGTAAATTGAGGGCGTATTCGAGATAATGCACTAGTGATCGGAAGGATAGTGTTTTGTCAAGAAGTTTGTCGTTTGTTGTAATGCGAGAAAGGGATATGGTAGAACCAGTCATTGTATAGTATTTTCCAGCAGCGGTTTAGGTTATCGCATTGCCAACGAGAGGAAGATTGCTTATTGCCACGAGTGTCGAGTCGAAAGTTGTGGGTAAAGCACTTATACAGTGCAACAATGTGTATACTAAATGTGTATCGTAGAGTTGGCGACGGCAGGGCTAGATGTAGAGAATCCGCGCAACGCGCTGAGATATACGTCATGTATTGCAGAGTAGTAGTCGCATAAAAGTGCACTACAAAGACCTACAGTACTTGTAAACTATGCGCTTGGTCATGTTATCATAACACATAGACATTAATTTTTCGAATGATATTCGAAAATCGAATGATATTCGAAGGTCGAATGATATTCGGTATTCGAATGATATTCGATATTCGAATATTCGAAATTTCCGATTTTCGAATATCATTCGACAGTCGAATACTCGAAATTTTCGATTTTCGAATATTATTCGATAGTCGAATATTCGAAATTTTCGATTTTCGAATATCATTCGAAAGTCGAATATTCGAAATTTTCGATTTTCGAATATTATTCGATAGTCGAATATTCGAAAAAAATTTCGAATTTCCCCAAGTATAGTAAGTTCCTTCTACAAAATTTCATGTGAGTTGAAACAATCGCCGAAAAACTCACAATGCTTTTGCGAAAATCGAACACGTCTTTATCCGTGGGTGGAAAATTTGATAATGCGGAAAGAAGGGATAACTTCGTTCCATGTTCGCTTTCCTATAGCCACATAGCATACAGCGATCAGAAGGGTCGCACAGGCAAAATCTATAGACCTCTTGCTTCTTAAAATCCGAGCACACACACTATTTATCTACATCGCCTCGCGATCCCCCCCCCCCGGCAAGACAACTGTTACACTTATATTCTAGCTTGCTTACCAGGCCCCGCTTAGCCCTGTCAAAACATTGTAATAAAGGTCCCATCCCTATCCCTGTACAGCCTTTCCCTGTGCCCACTTCTACTTCATTTTCCGTTCCCTGTATTATTTTCGAAATCAGCATGTCCACTTACCCTGCTTACCCCCCCCCTGTGCCAACTCCCAGCCCTTCAGCTCAAATTTTGAAAAAATCGATAAAAGTAATACGTGATACCAAAAACTAATATAGTATTCGTAATCAGCATGCCCATTTACTCCCCTCTGTCAACTCCCAGCCGCCCTGTAGCTCAAACTTTGCAAAAAATCGATAAAATCGACAAAGGTAATAGATAATTCTGAAAACTAATATTGTATTCGGAATCGCCATGCTCACTTACCCCCCCCCCCCCACCCTGTGCCAACTCCCAGCCCCGTGGGTGAACTCTGCAAAAAATCGATAAAATTCGATAAAATCGATATCGATCGATAACAAAAAGTAGTCTATGACACGCTTCCTGCCCCGAAGTGTATATGTGCCAAGTTTGGTCCAAATCGGTTTAGAAATGAAGTTTTCTATTCCGCACATGTAGGAGCTTCCAATCTAAGTGTCCGGTCGACGTGGTCCAACTCCTCGCAAGCCGCCTCGCTTGGATTTGTCACGTGGTACAATACCCCATCCGCTAAGATCTTCGCGGCATCGGGTGCGGTATTGTACCACGTAAGAGATCCAAGCGCGCTCGCGAGGAGTTGAAGCACGTCGACCGTGCCACTCAGACTGAAAGCCCCTGTACGCACACACATACATATAGGCTGCTGCATGACGAAGGCGCAATATCTTTGGGTGCAAACGCGGCTTTATTACCCGCAAAGCGCATGAGGCGCAGGACTTACAACGGTGAGGATACGCGCGCGTCGGCTTCACGCCCGCTCGACTAATACTGTTTCTGCGCCTTCGTCATGCAGTTTACATACATACAGACATTCAGCTTTATATATAAAATACCGAAATATCTTGCACTCTGGGTATGATACCTGGTCGCGATTAGTCGCGAAGAAAACTGTCACAACCGAAATGCAAGATGACCGATGCAATCGACTCGTAATAGTTGTCTTCTCGAAGGAAACGCGAACCATAAAATGGCGTCATACAGGGTTTATCAAACGCAGTGTCGCTTGCATCAGCATCTCCACTCCCGCGCTGGACTCTGCATCTCTTGCGCAAACATGCTCTCTGATCACTTTCCCAGGGCGAGCGTGGGAAAGGCGGAGCCTTAATCAATCGGAAGTGATCAGAGAGCATGTTCGCGGAAGTGAAACGCAGAGTCCAGCGAGGAAGTGGAGATGCTAATGCAAGCGACAGTGCGCTTGATAAGCACTGTATATACCCGGCCTCTCACACTTCTTGACTTGTTGCAACCGCATTCGACGCGTGCAAATTAAACGGATAGCCAAAAGCGCGCAAAATGTTGCAGGACATGCAAAGGTTACTGCGTGACGAGGGCGCAGAAGCGATATTAGTTGAGCGGGCGCGAACCCGGCGCGCGCGTATCTTCACCGTTGTAAAACCTGCGTCTCGTGCGCTCGTCTCGTCTCGTGCACTTTTTTTCAAATGAAGGTGCGTGGCGTTAGCCACGCACTCCGAAAAAATTTTAGGAGTACTTCTCAAAATTTTTGCAGGTCCCCAACCGCTAAAATCTGGAAAAAGGGGGCGTGGCGTCAGCCACGCCCCCGAAAAAATTTTTTTTATAAGGCTAATTTGAATTTTTAAAATTTTAAAAATTATTTTAATTATTTACAAAAATAAACAAGTCGTTTGCACATTTTTATAATCCGTATAGGTAAGTTTCAAAAATTTCGAGACCCATTCCGGGGGGGGGGGGCGCCTACCCCGCCCCCCCGCCCTCGGACCGCCACTGTTTCCGCGTTATCTAGGGAAACGAACACCGCCAGTTTGCGCCGCTTTTCGCTGCCAACTGGTTCTTTTGCAACACTTTTGCACGTCGTCCCAGGACCAGTAGTCCGCGTAGGCGCCCAAACTGGCCGCCTTTGTTCCCCTATCCAGTCTTTCCGTGCAACGTTTGGAGGATCGCTGGACCCGGTAGTGGTAAGAACATCTGTCTTGGGGATACCTAATGCTAATGACAGATTCGCGTCTCACTGTCTCATAAGGCGCTTGGCGGTAGCAAATGGCCTAATCTGGGTGCAACTCTAGGAGGGGCTTTCGCGTTTGTACGTCAGCTTGGTTGGGCAT